CCACGTTTCACTGTTTGGTCCATTTGACCTTTCTGTGTGCACCAGTGAGTTGGAATATAATTGTCCTAGAGTAATTCCCAGGTAATGTATGGCACCTGTCACACCCAAAGAAGATTCTCAACGTCTGTATGACGTTCTAAATTAGTTGTTGCTTTGGGAAGTCCTGGTCACTCAGCGCACTGATTGGGCACAAACATTCAGAAGCTTGTCTATTATAGCTTAATGAATGGATGTTGTAAAAGCGGTCACTGGCCAATTTCGAAATGTCTGTTTCCTGACGTCTACATCTGCGCCTTAGCGTACTTAGTAAGGTATTATATTAAGTTATATTAAATCTTGTCCGTCTAATCACAATAAATTCTTATTAAATATTAAAATATTACGATAGTTAACATTTAAAATATTTAAAATGATGTTCTTTATCGAAATATTCGATTTACATTAGACCATCATTTTTCATGTTTCACGACATGTTTCGGTTCCTAAAAGAACCATCCTCAGGTGTATATAATTACATATAAAGCTTCAAAACGATAAATAATTCAAATACAATTTTCATACATTATGCCAGCGTACATTTTTATCAGATTTTTTTATATACACCTGAGGATGGTTCTTTTAGGAACTGAAACATGTAATGAAACATGAAAAATGATGGTCTAATGTAAATCGAATATTTCGATAAAGAACATCATTTAATATTTTAAATGTTAATTATTGTAATATTTTAATATTTAATAGGAATTTTATTGTGATTAGACTGATAAGATTTAAACAAATTTCTTACTGTTATTTCAGTTCTATTGTCAGTTACTAACTTATAAGTGTGTGAATTGCATTAGAGATACAGAACTGATAAATACATCGCGAGGAGTTTCAACTAATGGCTTTAGCCATGAGGTAATAAAATTTCTTGTGACGCTATAAACATACGAATTCAAAAATTCCGGATGAATCGAGTAAATAATACGATGGAATGTTTGAACTGAAAAAATATACGTACTGTAGCCAGTACGGGGCAGAAATATCGATGCAAATAAGACGTGGAACAGCTGAGGAATAAATGATGAAGGAATTAAAGAAAGATGCTAAGGAATGTGTCTATAAAATAGATAAGTCCCCTTCAAGTTTTTGCAGGCTTTATACAAGATGTTGTAAACTTGCTATTATAGATTTTGTAAGAAGTAGGACGAGACGTAGAGAGAGAGAGATGAGTATTTGCTCCCAAACAATCCGCTCATTGAGAAAACATCAGAGACAAGGAATTTTAACAGAAATAGCTAACAACCCAGCTTCAGTAACTTAATCTGTGCTTTAAATAGCACGAAGACCAAGTTACTCTTCAGAGGCTACTGGTCTTTGTAACAGAATGTACAGAGGCTAGCAGGCAAATAAACAAATAATTATTCACGTCAGAGACCTGTTTCAAGGCATTTGTCAACTAGATTTCCCGTGCAGAAACGTTTTCTGAAATAACGTCGAAACTTCGCTCTGCAATCGTCTTATTAATTTACGTCGTAGGCTGACACAAGACTGTCGCACACAGAGTGTGTGAAGGAGCTCATATAAGGTAAGATCTGAGGTTTTCACAGCGGGGAGTATGAAGATTTTTGTCTTCTGGGTTGTTGCGATGAATGTGCCAGTTAACATCGACCAGACTACACAGCGCAATAACCCAGAAGACAGAAATCTTCAGACTCATCGCCCTGATGACGGAGGCAGTATGACCTCCGAAACGTTGGTTAACATCGACCAGACTACACAGCGCAAGAACCCAGAAGACAGAAATCTTCATACTCATCGCCCTGATGATGGAGGCAGTATGACCTCTGAAACGTTGGTTAACATCGACCAGACTACACAGCGCAACAACCCAGAAGTCTTCAAGTTTACATAAGGTTACTCCCTAAATGCTTAGTTTTGGAAGATCTACCACAGAGAATTTCTGGACCCTGCATTAAGAATGTTAATATTTATCGCAACTCAGAAGTTCGCACGGACGTCGTGTCCTAGTATTTATGGTTCGGAATCAGAAACCCTATCAACGCGCATTATGTATCGTCGTGAGAAGTGTGTTACCCCATTTGACGGTATCCCGAAGACTTATACTAAGAACAGGTGTCCTCACCTTCCTTCGCTGACGCACCATTAATACACATTAAATGTACCACGAACCAAATGCGTTCAGGGAAAACTTATCTATGTTAATATTATTGGCTCGCGTATAAACAGTGGTACGCGTAACATAGGTTGATAAACTCTGTTTTAGAACATTTTTAACTTACTTTTAACAAGGAATCACACTATGGAGAGTCTATGAGAAAATTTCGTTTAATTCTTCAAGCATATATATATATACGTCTATGCAAAAACACTCTCAAGTTCGTATACAACATTTTATATACATTGTTTACTGAATACAGAATAGATTTCGGTAATCAGTCTTCGTACGCTCGCGATATCAAAGTAACTAGGACCATGTCAAGTTGGTCGTTGATGGAATCTCGAGGTGTAGATTCTTGACAGCTGAGATACTTTGCATGCAAATGCCTGTCACTTGGAGCTTTCTGTAGAGGCGGACTCCGCGGTGTTATGGGTCCATGCCAATGAAAACTGCTGCCCGTTCGAACACAGTGGACAGATTACCACAATCTCTGACCGACAAGAGCGACACAAGGCCCACGTGTTAAAACGTCTTCGCGGTTGAGCACTGGAATGAAGCAAGTGTCCATCGAACACGTCAGCTGAAGGAGCTCAAAGGCGGGAATTTGGCCTACTAAATTCGAGTCTCCTGACTAACACTTCCTTTATACGGTTTCGATAAATAACCTCTGTAGATGGTACACCGTAATTAAATATCCTAATAACAACTCTTGACCTCCAGATGAGAACATTCGATCTCGTGTCACGCTGTTAGACAAGTTTTAAGTAAGGTTAAACGTGTAAAAATAGGTTGGTAAACAATGTTGTTAGTTTCTTTGTTAGATTTTTACATTCGCTCTGTTGGTACTCGTCAGACACCAAAAAAGATTTTGTTTTTACAATGTACATTAGGCCCCCTTACCAGAGGATCACGACATTTTTGGTGCAAGTGTTCATTATCTCCCATAATCCTCTCATGGGTCGAAGCCTCTCAAATGAATCCATCTTCATCTTATTTGGCCGCTGGTCCCATTGCTACGTGGAATTAATTTAATTAAACAACATTGAAGTCTTCCCCCAAAATATAACATTTTATAAGATCATTCACTGTAATAGTGTGTCTATAAAAAGGCCATCAAAATTTCCATATATGATTTTCTCGTGGACCTCTCTGCATTAGTAACATGCTTCAGTCTACATCTATTAACATCAACTTCAAAGTTAAAGTAACGTAACCTAAATTTGATGGAATTTACTGTGCCAATTCAATGATGTTAAGGCAGCTCGTTGCGATGAACCTGGATTTTAATATAAACCTTGTAACTTCGGTTGTGATTTTTCTATGGAGATCTTTTACGAACTTGGAAGTTGGCAGTACTGATTTCGATCAAATGTCGTATAAAAATAATTTCCAGTAGCCACGGTGAAATCTCTTTAAATTAACAAAAATAAAAAAAAATATTTTTACGCATTTAACCGTGACATAATTATGTGGGTCATTGTTTAAAATTTTTTAAGGTGAACGAGGCCTTGTTTTAATCCTTTCGTCCCAACCTTGCAGATAATATTCAGGGCACTTGGAGTAGGTCCAGGACTTGCTTGAATTCTGGGTTATCAACAAAGAGTATATAGGCCTAAAATATATTTAGAATAGTCGCTTCGATGAGTCGATTCCAAAATATTAAGGAAATATTCTGGGTCAAGCTTTCCGGGTATTAAACGGTTTCTTTCTCGAAATTATGCGAAAGATTAATTCTCCTGATCATCGTGTAAGACAAAGATAGAATAACATTTCATAACAGTCTGTCAGTCACTTCGCACCGAATAAAGAAATAACACGCAAATATCTCATTTTTGAAGTCCGTATTCGTATGAGAGTCATGGAGGGAACATCACATAACTGACAAAGCACACACAAATTTAAATTCTTCATTATTTTCCCCCCACTTATTAAACTCTCTGCCGTGACTCAGAGAGATGGCCTACATTTTGCCGTGTTTGTAACCTCGAGAGGCTGGCACGAGGACTCCTACCTGCAGGTGACGCGCATTACACTGCTCCGTGCAACAACGCACTAGAACACTACGTCACAGCGTTGCGAGATGTCCCTGAAGGCAAATATCGAGGTATCGATCGACGCCACACGATTTTTGTGCGAGAGTTGGAGAAACAGAAAAACATCGACAGAATGACATAACAGCCCTAAAGGAGGGAAGTAACTGAGAGGATTGAAGTTGTGTTATTACTTTTATTTGTGAATTATTCAACTAAAATGCCAATAGCTCACATAATATAGTCTAAAGATGAGATATTATTAATTGGATATATATGCAGACCTTGCTTGATTTAAGATTTATTGCCGCCTTTTGCCAGGAAACACAGAGGGAGATAACGGAAAGCATTCTGACCACACGGCGGCAAGGTTTGATCACGATTATGTTTGTAATAATAATAATAATAGTTATAATAACAAGTCAACAACAATAACAAGAAAAACACTGTTGTTCTAAATGGCCCAAAGGGACCGAAGGCCAGTTGTGTAAGGTTAGGATAGGATGGAGTACGTTAGGTTGGGTTAGGTTAGCAGGTTGTAAATCTAAATAACACAAAACAAATACAAAAACACAATTACGTTCTGTTTCTACCCACATAACTCTGTCCATTGGTTTTCAGTTGACATAATACACAAAATCAGTGCTTCAGTGAACAATGCAACTCCTAAAAGATCTGGATACCAAATTAATTTGCAACTGTGAATGAAATTCTCAGAATCAAAATATGTTTTTTGTTGAGTATTTCACTGTTCGTGTATATTATGAGACACTTGCAACGAACAAACATTTACCTGATGGACTGACCTCATATTGACGGTGCACGTTGAATAAACAGTTGCTGTCTGTGATTGATCTTACAGGAACATGTACACCAGCAGTAACCACAATAGAACAATACGTAAATAAGTAATGGCAGCTAAACGAGACCTCGAATGTCTATGTAATACAAGCGTAATTGTGTGGTTATTGGCGCGAGCATGTGGATGCAGTCAGTTACGAAAGCTTTGAAGGACGAAATGATCTTATCGTCTGCGGTAGAACAATCATTATAGCAGCATAGCAGTTTCCTAGTCAAGAACTCAAATTGCAACCCGACTTTCTACGTACACGCTTACCAACATTCGGCCAACGACAGCTCACCTTCCGCTAAAGGCTACGAGAGTAGAATCGATCTCTATACATATATGTAGTTTTAAAGGGGGACTCTTCAAAAATAACTTATTTTTAAAGTGTACACTTTGAAACAGTTAAATCTGATAACTTCTGGTGGCTTTATGACGATAAGTGGCAAAATATTCTCCATCAACCAAACAAAACCCCGTGCATAACGAGAGTCGTCTGTAATAGTCACAACTTTCTTTCCAAACGTTTTTCACACCCATAAATATTTAAGGAGTTACAGTCCATACGCAGTCGGAAGCGGATGTCAGTGTCATGTAACGTGTAACCCAGGTTATGTGTCAATACATTTGATAAAAAATCTATTTCAAATGTTAAAAAAAATCGTTCGATTGCTAGTAGACGTAATTTTGCAACTTCTAGTTGTGGACACGCCAAGAACATACGTTGCATCTCAACCTATCTTGACTTTCCATTGCATATGTTTTAAGTAAGCAATGACGTTTCGCCCTAAGGTGACTAAGCAGCAAAGAACGCGCGCACCACGCTAGAGAGAGAGAGAGACAGAAAGAACATTCTGGCAAGCAGCCATTTTGGCCCAAGAACTAAACAAAAAGAAGCTTGGTTCCACACAAACTCAACAACAATTACGCAAGTTTCAGTGAACAGTTTCAATAATAAAGTAAAAAAAATAACGGAAACGTGGAATAAAGAGGGGGGGGGGTAAAGTATGCTGAAAAGTGTGACGTTAAGAAGTGGCTACGCCTTTAACAAAGGATTTTATATTTAGAACACAGGCAAAGCATGGTGTAAGAAAAGAAATGGTTTAGAACGCGGAGGAAAAACTTCAACACTAATAACTTAATTCATCCGCTCCGTCGCGTCTATGTATTAACAATGAATCAAGTTGGCAACTATGTAGTTGTTTTCAATTCAGCTTTGAGTGAGCATTTTGCTACGATGTAATAGTGTCCTGATGAAAGGTCAAGGAAAGTGTTTTGGGTTGTGAAATCAACAATGATCTATCTGTTGTTCAAATCATAATACAATTAAACGCCAGTGTCTCTTACACCATCCACCTGCCATGTTATCTAAGAGACAATAAATCACAAGAAAAAAACAGTGGGGTTAGGAGCTATTAAAAGTTTTCTGTTGCTTACGTACATGTTCTCTCTGCCACAATGTTACTTTACAAAATACAAACATATGTTTCCTACAGATTCCAACACGTGTTTATAATTAAATGCCATGAACGTAGGTAGCTACAAATTGCCTATTCTCCCATGCCAGTGTAAACGAATATAAGTCCAGAAATTATAACCACAGTATTTTTTTATATTCACAGCCTTTTCTTTTCCTGGTCTTTTAATCCACTCGCAATTGTGACCCGATCCAAACTAAGCAGATCGCGAAAGTGATCGACACTGTCCACCTCTAAGGACTGACTCTTAATACATTCGTTTTATTCTATTTCTTTTTTTTTTAATAATACATCTAAACGTGTTTTACGTTACATTAGATCATAATGGGTGTCGCCAATTATTTACGACGAACTGCTTTTGAGAAAATTATCATATATCGAATATTTTATATTGCATGATGGCGGCAAGAAATACGAGGTTGTTTTTAGGCCATTCGACTGCGGCATTAGAACAAGTTCATTTCCTACCACCCATCAA